GAATTGTTATTTTTCCCTAGACATGATATAAAAATATAAAACATCATTAAGGGCAGTCAAAATTTAGTAAATAATGTCTGTATATTTTATAAAAATTTCTTTATCCCTTTAATGGGTCTGCATCATTCTATTCAGAGGGCCCGTCTTTGCCTAGGGCCCCATATTTCCTAAATCTGCCCCTGCTTCGATTCTCTCCTCCGGTTTCAGTTGTTGTGCAGAGAATTACCTCCTTTGTCACGGGAGCGGGCATCGCCCTAAACTCAAACCCATTGATGAGAAAAAGGGTTGAAACATGAACGAAAAGGGAAATTTTAAACTTATGCTTAATGATTTCATATTTCTTAGACATGGATGCTTTAAAATGTATAGTTCTGGTGGACAGATGAATTCGAATTAATAGGATTTTCGACACATTTCAATCGATGTGCTTCAGTCAGTGTGCAATGAATAAATTCTCTGCTCAGTGGATGCCAGAATAGTCAATCAGGAAGAGAGAAGGCAGAACAACCAATGAGAGTGGAGTTAAACAGCACAGTTACTGACTTTAATGGCAGAAAGACGGAGCGGCAGCAGCTACTGAGCTGCGAGAGAAAAAGAATAGGCTGTGATCACACACAGTGGCTGTGATCCACCACGCTGAACTGTTAATTATAAACATGTTATATTAAAATGTTATATAAACATGTTATTCAAATGGAATTATCGGTAGGGACAAATAGGTCGGTCCAAAATCTTGGCAGGGACATGTCCCTCCCTATGGTCACCTATGCAAACCAACGCCCATGCGTCATCCCCAGCATGGTTTCCTTACCTGCGCTCAAGTAAAACAAATTAACTATTTTTTATGAACTCCAAAATGAGGTTAGATTTCCTCTGTTAATTTAAATAAGACAGATATGTTTTTAAAAGGAAGTTCCTACCTTGGAGGAAAGGAGCTTCCTCAGAGACTGAGAGGAAGACAGCAGAGAGAAACTGGAGAAGTTTCCACAGTGAAGCTGACTTTGGGTCCATTTCTCCCTTCCAGATGATAGAACAGCAACCCGTGCTTTAAAAACCTAATTAAATGGACTAAGTGAAACAAAAATACAGAGAACTAAATCTTTACTACCGCCTTAAAGGCATGGGCTGCTTTCCCAGCGCGCCATGACAGGAACTGCTCCTCCTCCTCTGATCATGTGTTAAAGGTGTGCCCCTGTGCTCCTCCTAACTGGCTGCTCTATCTGGGGCCAGGCGTCACTTACGGGAATCAGTGAGGCACGTGCTGCCTGGTGTGTGTGGTTTAGTGCGTAAGCAAAAAGCGAAGTGGTGTAAAACTAGTCTAAGAAAGTACATAAAAAAGTGAATCATGTAAATGTAAGCAAGTACATGTAAGTAGTTTATAGACTTAGACAGAATTTATTGTCATTTTGTACACACACAGTGTTTGATGTAGTGAAAAAACTAAAATTCAAAAAAAAAAAAAAAAACTCAAGACTTAAAGGTGATCAAAGCAAAAGGTGAATTCAACTCACCTGATGCACCGTGGATGACGCCGTCCAAAAAGATCAAAATGGGTCAAAATCCAGTTCTTTGCTTGCTTTATTCTCCGTACAGACAAACAGCTTACAGGCTTTACGGGATTCTGCTACTGCTCTCCCTTCCTGCACCTGTTGATTGATTGATTGATTGATTGATTGATTGATTGATTGATTGATTGATTGATTGATTGATTGATTGATTGATTGAGAACTGAGAACTTAGAAAACCGTATCACCACCCACTTTCATAATGACCTACCTAAGACCTCCCTATTTATACTGTGAAACACCCACATCCCAAGATAAAATTCATTAAGTGACTCACTAAACAAATCCTGTTCTAAATAACAAATCAAACTAAATAATCAAAATTCCAAGATTTAACTTTAAAAACAATGAGAAATAGCTCCTGCATATTCAAGAAGAAATTTTATTCAGTACAGCTCTCAATATATTTCCATTTTTAAAGTGCAGCAGTGATAAAATGTAAACATAAGACTGTATATGATTTACAGATTCCAACATTCAGTGCTTTAAGAAAAAAAACTAAAAACATTTTACTCAACATTCAGCAGTCTAATGGCGGTGGGGAAGAAAATGTCATGGAATCTGCTGTTCCTGCATCCAATGCTGTGAAGCCTCTTCCCAGAGGGCAGCAGGGAGAACAGTCCATGGTGGGGGGGTGAGGGGTCATTGAAGATGTTACGGGCTCAGGACACGCAGCGCTGGGATGAAATGTCTTTAATGGAGGGAACAGGAGTCCCCATGATCCTCTCTGCTGTTCTTACCACCCTCCTCACTTTCTTCCAGTCTGAGCCGCTGCGGTCTCCACACCACACAGTGAGACAGCTGGTCAGAACGCTCTGATGGAGAGCTCCATGGTGCTGAAAGCTGAACTGAAGTCCAGAAAAAGCATGCGCACGTGGGTGTTCTTCTCCTCCAGGTGGAGCGGTACAGTCGGTAGGCGAACTGGAACGGGTCGAATGTTGGCGGTAGACTGGAGACGATGTGTTCTTTAACCAGCCTTTGGAAGCACTTCACCATGATGGGAGTCAGTGCGACAGGCCAGTAATCATTGAGTGAGGTGACCTGAGGCTTCTTTGGGACTGGAATAATGGAGGCAGACTTGAAGCATACTGGCACTATGGATTGGTCCAGCGAGATGTTAAAGATGTCTGTGAGGACACCATACCCACGTCCGGCGAGTTTGTGTGTAAGCAGGCTGATTACATCAGAGCCCAGATCAGTTCTGCTCCTCTCCACCACTATGATGGTTCTGTGGCCAGAACCTCTAGAGGGCAGTAATGTTCTGTCCTGGTTCTGCTGTGAAGTTGATCCAACCTGCAGGAGAGGAAATTTCATTCTTGTGTGTGTGGCGATGATGATTGTTAGAGTTATTGAATGACAATTATAAAATTAATGTGTGGGCATATGAAACATTGAAGAAATAAGATTCTACATTCTGTCCTGTGATTCAATCAGGAGGTTTATTCTAGACTTGCCTTCAGCCAGAAGGCATTTACAGGGTCATAAACTTTTATGACCTGCCTCTCAGCCAGTTTTTCATTCTAGGGTCATAAACCCCCCCCCCCATCTGTTTCTGCTCTGTGAATAAAAGACTGCTGTTCTGTTGGGGGTCAGAATGGTGCTGGGATGTGAGCAGCAGCCTTTCTCATTCCTGCAGGAAAATCTGTATCAAAATCCTTTTGTGCTCCAGATTCATTTTTTGTCCTATATGAAATATGAAAAATGAACTCACAATATTTTGAATCTAACAATGATGCTTAATGAGTATTTTTTATGTTTCATTATTCAAATATATATTGAAAACAATACGACCTTTGAACCTAAGAGATCCATCCTTAAACCATTTAAGAACCAAATGTTTACCTTCCTTGATGCTTCCTCCAACAGCCCACCCTAAACAAGCAGAGGTGGACACTACAGTGGCTATATTTAATTTCTTTAAAAAAATAGGTTATTTTATTATTTTACTTTTTGGTTTAGCAGTATTGTACTTTTAACTTCACTGTAATAAAAATATGATGAAGTATTAGCACTTTACCTGCACTTGGTGATCTCCATGGATGATTAAAAAAAAAAAATTAGACTCGTTATATCAAGGGCTGCATGACTGTATTTATTGTGCATATATGTTTTTATTTGCTGCTGCTTAGTTACTCACTTACAGATATACAGAGAAAGAGCTGGTGGAACCAGGAAGGTGACATTTTGTGTTTGTGGAATATAATGTGCAAAACAGGAAATTTATTCAGAATTAAGAATTTTTGTGGGTTTTTTTTTCAAGCAGTTTCTGATTTTTAATTCATTCCCTTATTGTCACAAATTCTCTGGTCTTTAAAAACATCTTTTCACAGGATGAGGTGTACTTAGGTGACTTTCTAAGAGAAAAAAAAAACTTTTAGGAGTACTTTAACTGCATTGCACTGTTTACTTTTACATCAGTAGAAATATGATAAAGTATCAGTGCTCCTACCTGCATCAGTCTCTAGCTACTCTGTTTATTATGAGGCAGTTCTCTTCAGGGAAACAAAATCAGCAGGAAGAAACTCATATTCCATCTTTGTCCTCAATGCTTATTAATATTCTATCTGCTCAGTCTGTCATTTATAGACCAGGTACTGTAAGCATGTAACCATGTGGTATTTATTCATCTTATCCTTAAACGGCAGGATGTTCATGTTACATTTACATAATTGCTAAAATGTTAAATCAGGTTTTAAGATCATTAGTAGAAAGTTTTACCAAAAGCTTTTTTTCATTCTTCCTCTATTGATTTATTTTACTTTCACTTTAAAGCTGAGTATTACTTCTGTTGTGCACCAACACAGCATTTATTCTTTATGAGGTAATCATGTTCACAGGCCAGTCAGTGTGAGTCATTGCAATGGAAACTTTGCTCTCTTTCCAAAGACTGTGTTTTCTGTCAGATGGCCAGATGCTTTCATCTACAGTTGAGCCGCCTCAGAGTGAATGTAAGGACGGAGGAGGTTCAGCATGTTTCCATAACACTGCAGGTTTCTCACATACGATGAGAAAAAATTAGGTAAAGATGTTCAAATGTTTCTGCAGCCATCACCATAAAACAAGCAGAGACGTTCCCACATCAGTGAGATCTTTCTCTTCCTGACGGACTTCAACCTCTCTGCATCCTGTGGCTCTGGAGTCGCCAGCAGCTCTTTAGAAAATCAACAAATGCTGAAAATGAAGAAGAGCAACTTTTTGGAATTGGGGGATTTCCTCAAGTGACTAATTCAGCAGGAATTTCCCCAAAAGATTATTTTAATTATAACAGAAAAATATATCTATATTTTTAATAATTTTTAGTGGTATTTTTTTAACATAACTTTCTAAAATAATTAGCAACCTCTTCTAAATTTTTGTTGAATTAAAATTTTTCCTTTTTCAAAGGCAATGTGATGTTTGCAGCTCTGAAGGAATTTTATTTAAAGGACTCATTGTTTTGCAGTTCACAATTTTTGTTTTTACTGTAATTATAACTAGTGTTGCACCGATACCAGTATCAGGCGGGGCCCCGATCCAGCACTAAAGTGGTGGTATCGGTATCGCCGACGCCGAGTACCAACAAATCACAAAGGTAGGCAGTAGCTTGACAAAGCCATGATGATAATTATTTTAAATCCAAGTAGTATGCAGTTCTTCATATATACGAGGGGGTTTCAATAAGTATTGCCCCTGGCCCACTTCCAGATGTTTGATAGAGCTGAAATTTTGCATGTGAGGTATTTTAAATCTCTATAGATTAAATAGCAAATTACAACTCTGAACTAATTGTGGTTTCTGATTTACTGGTGTTAAAACTGAGTCAAGTCTGAGTTTTTGCATTTGAAAGGAGGCACACAATGGGAGACTTCTGATCAAATGAAAGTAACTTCTAGTGATAATGTCCCTTAATATAACCTTGTAAAACATTTTGCATGGGTCAAATAATGGGCATCATCGTCATTAGTTACTTTAATTTCATCAAAAGTCTCCTGTGGTGTGAGTCCTTTCCAATAGAAAAACTAGCTCCATTTCAGACTTTAGATTAGATTAGATTAGATTAGATTAGATGGGCTTTATTGATCTCACAGGGGAGAAATTCACTGGTCACATATTGGCATAGCAATTAAAAAGGGTGTAAACAAGGAGGAAAAAGGTGCATTAAGAATAAACAATATATATACAGTATATCATTATAAATAAGGATTAAGGTGCAAGTGTACTCAGTTCAAATACCTGTAAGCCAGAAACCACAAATAGTTCAGAGCTTTAATTTGCTACTTAATCTATAGGGATTTAAATAACGTGACATGCAAAATCTCAGCTCGATCAAACATCTGGAAGTGGGTCAGGGGCATTACTTATTGAACGCCCCCCATTCACACACACATCAATTTCAAACAGATGGTATCGGGCCAATCCTCCACAGCCAGGTATCTGTATTGGTATTGGGGCCAAAAAAAATGGCATCGACACAACATTAATTATAACAAAAAGATATTCTTTCTTTTGTAATATGTTTTTTTTTTTTTTACCTAATTGAACAAATATTAGTTTTGTAGATATTTTTATCAAATAAAAGTGTT